TAATAATGCTCTCTCTTCTTATACTGGCTATTGCTTGTCTCCCTCAGTTTATCAGTAGTTCTAATCTTGCTCTTACACTTGATGCTGCTAACAGTACCTGTACTGCAGCCTGTACTACCTGCAGTGATACCAGTAATACTGATACCAATCAATACAACACTGATGATGAGCTATTGAATGAACTACTCAATGCTACAAGGAACAATAGTCAAGATATTCAAGAAATAAAACAGAAAATGGACGGTATCATTTCTTCTCTCTTTCATATCAAGGAGACTGCTACCTTTAATGCTGGAGCTATCAATGATATACTGCTACTAGTGGAAGACCTTATCATGTTACACAATGACTCATCTTCCTTCTCTCCTATTCCTACTTCTTGTCAAGAGATTAAGAACGAACAACCAAACAGTCCTTCTGGTGTATACCTACTGGCAACTGCTACCAATAGAGCTCAATATGTTTACTGTAATATGGAGGAGTTGTGTGGTTCAGGAGGAGCATGGACAAGACTAGCATATCTGGATATGTCTGATGCTACAGTGAACTGTCCTTCTGGGTTTAGTCTGTACCAGTCAGGAGGAGTTAGAGCTTGTGGTAGAGCAACATCAAGTGTAGGCAGTTGTACATCAGTTCAGTTTCCATCTAATGGTATCAGTTATTCTCAAGTGTGTGGTAGAGTAGTGGGATATCAATATGCTTCACCTGATGCAATTCGTAGCCAATCGATCAATAATATTAATTCTTATTATGTTGATGGTGTTAGTATCACTCGTGGGTCTCCTCGTCAACATGTCTGGACACTAATGGCTGGACTGATGGAAGCTGATTATCATGTTAATGATCCCAACAGGGGCCACATAAATTGTCCTTGTTCTCAAGGTGGTCTGCAAAGTGCAACTCTTCAGTCTTTCATTGGTAATGACTACTTCTGTGAATCTGGTAATCCTTCTACTCATAAAGCATATCAATACATACTCTATACATCTGATCCATTGTGGGATGGTAAAGGATGTGGTAGTCTTGAAGGTAATTGTTGTACATCTCGTCCTAGTCTTCCATGGTTCAATAAGGTACTAAACACTACCACTACTGACTACCTTGAGCTGAGGGTGTGTGGAGATCAAGAGACAACTGATGAAGATGTTCCTGTTAGCTTTTATGAGTTGTATGTCAAATGATGGGAATATACTGATGAACAGTTTGATAGATAGTGTGTGTGTGTGTGTGTGTGTGTGTGTGTAGTTAGTTTTTAATAGTTAGTTATAGTTAGGTTTATTTTTGAGGCGATTTGAAAATAATGATTGAAATTTAATGTCATTTTAATATGTGCATGTACTTTACAGAAGGTATGCAGATTATTAGTGCCAGTCTACTTCTGTAACTCCTGCACATTTTTGGTTGATGAGCCACTAGACTAGAGTATGTTCTTCGAATGTTTCCCATTACGTACAGCATCATGACTGACGTCACTAGTCAGGCTCTTCTGAATATTATAAAAGGAGTGAGGAGTAAACAGTAAACAATCATTACAAAGAGGATAATAATGCTCTCTCTTCTTATACTAGCTATTGCTTGTCTCCCTCAGTTTATCAGTAGTTCTAATCTTGCTCTTACACTTGATGCTGCTAACAGTACCTGTACTGCAGCCTGTACTACCTGCAGTGATACCAGTAATACTGATACCAATCAATACAACACTGATGATGAACTATTGAATGAACTACTCAATGCTACAAGGAACAATAGTCATGATATTCAAGAAATAAAACAGAAAATGGACGGTATCATTTCTTCTCTTTCTCATATCAAGGAGACTGCTACCTCTAATGCTGGAGCTATCAATGATATACTGCTACTAGTGGAAGACCTTATCATGTTACACAATGACTCATCTTCCTTCTCTCCTATCCCTACTTCTTGTCAAGAGATTAAGAACAAACAACCAAACAGTCCTTCTGGTGTATATCTACTGAAAACTGCTACCAATGGAACTCAATACGTTTACTGTAATATGGAGGAGTTGTGTGGTTCAGGAGGAGGATGGACAAGACTAGCATATCTGGATATGTCTGATGCTACAGTGAACTGTCCTTCTGGGTTTAGACTGTACCAGTCAGGAGGAGTTAGAGCTTGTGGTAGAGCAACATCAAGTGGAGGCAGTTGTGTATCAGTTCAGTTCCCATCTAATGGCATTAGTTATTCTCAGGTGTGTGGTAGAGCAACTGGATATCAATATCATTCACCAGATGCTGTTCAGAACCACTCTAATAGTTACCTTCATCATAGTAACCTCAATTCTTATTATGTTGATGGTGTTAGTATCGCTCGTGGGTCTCCTCGTCAACATGTCTGGACACTAATGGCTGGTTTTAGTGATTCATTGTCTAATTCTGTTGCATGTCCATGTAATACTGGTAGTACAGTCAGTATCAGTGCAGTCTTTCATTGGTAATAACTACTTCTGTGAATCAGGGACTACTGGTGGTGGTGTATCTGGTGCTTTATACACATCTGATCCACTCTGGGATGGTCAAGGTTGTCTTTCTATTGCATCACCTTGTTGTAATGTTCCTGGTATCCCATGGTTTCACAGAGACTATGGTAGTACTACCACCACTGACTATATTGAGTTGAGGGTCTGTGCTGATGATGGAACTTCTAATGAAGACAGTCCTGTTAGTTATTATGAGATTTATGTTAAGTAGTGAAGTGTGTGTATGTGTGTGTGTGTTGCCTTGGTTTAGTTTCTTATTTTTGCTTTGTAATTTTGGTATAGTTTTTGAATTTTTAGTTTGTTTTTTTATTTTGACATTAATTTAGTGATATTACTATTGTTGGATTGTTTTTACTTCTTGCTGCTAGAAAGCTCAAAATGCCTTCCCTTTAAACTGCACTTCATTTATTGTTTTCCCACCCACATATGACATGTGAGCAGGTTTGGTACTTAGACTAGAATGAGACAAAGACAATACTAAAATGAAATTAAAATTAATAATGACGAAGCACAATAATGACCAATATTTCATCCACATACTTGTACATGTAATATTAATTTTCATTTTGGAGTTTGAAGAATGAAACTATCAAAATTTTGTTAAATGAAACAATATTTTCCCACCAGAAACACATTGTATATTCATTACAATAACTTCTCAATCTTGTGCATATACATAGATGCACTTTAGTAAACTGGTGTTAATTGCTTGTAGTAATTTACAATGGAAGGAGAAGATAATCTATCTTATGAATCTGTAAAGCAAGACAATGTCACGGAATACAATGTATACGAGTTTGTCGAGTTGAGTCAAACCTCAGCTGTTGAAGAGAGGAGAGCCGAAGAACCTAAGGATATGGAGAAAAGGAAGGACAAGGAGCCAAAAACATGGAATAAACCAATCATTATCATCATCATTGTATTACTGTCACTGATAGTAATACTACAGGTTGGTATCCTTTGCTTGTTACTGGCTCAAATGTCTACAAGAGATACACCATGTATTACTGGAGCTACTACTGGAGCTATTGCTGGTAACAATAAATATCCTAACTTCACTCAATGGGCTAATGATATAGTCAATAAAGTTAACAGCAATGTAACAGGGAGCCTTCCTGACTTCAATGAATGGGCTAATGGTGTTGTCTCTAAAGTTAACAGCAATGTAACAGGGAGCCTTCCTGACTTCAATGAATGGGCTAATGGTGTTGTCTCTAAAGTTAACAGCAATGTAACAGGGAGCCTTCCTGACTTCAATGAGTGGGCTAATGGTGTATCTCAAAATACCCTTCAACTATTTCAGAACAATACCAACTTCACTGAACTTGATAAGCAAATCTTACAAACTACAAGAGATTCTGCACAAAAGCTCATTAACATTGTCAACACTCTCTCTAATATACAAGACACCAGTACCTCTACTGCTGGAGTGGCTGATGATACATTATTATTCACTAAACAAACATTAATGTTGTTAAATAATTCACGACTTGTTCTTCCAACATCTTGCAAGCAAATACAAAATCAAATCCCTACCAGTCCATCAGGTAATTATGTATTAGCATCAGACTTTGGATCAACATATTATACTGCTTACTGTAATATGGAGGAGTTGTGTGGTTCAGGAGGAGGATGGACAAGACTAGCATATCTGGATATGAATGACTCTACAGTGAACTGTCCTTCTGGGTTTAGACTGTACCAGTCAGGAGGAGTTAGAGCTTGTGGTAGACCAGTAACATACAATGGAGGCAGTTGTGTATCGGTTCAGTTCCCATCTAATGGTATCAGTTATTCTCAGGTGTGTGGTAGCGTAAAAGGATATCAATATGGTGGACCTAATGCCATTTATTCTTATCGTAATGACATCAACTCTTATTATGTTGATGGTGTTAGTATCACTCGTGGGTCTCCTCGTCAACATGTCTGGACACTAATGGCTGGGTTTAGTGATTCATCTACTTCATCATATTCATGTCCATGTAATACTGGTAGTACAGTATCAGTGCAGTCTTTTATTGGTGATAACTACTTCTGTGAATCAGGGAACACTGGTGCTGGTGTACAAAATATTCTCTACACATCTGATCCACTCTGGGATGGTCAAGGCTGTCTTTCTATTGCATCACTTTGTTGTAATGTTACTGGTATCCCATGGTTTCATAGAGACTATGGTAACACTACCACTACTGACTATATTGAGTTGAGGGTGTGTGGAGATGAGGGAACTTTTTGGGAAGACAGTCCTGTTAGTTATTATGAGATTTACATTAAGTAGGGAAGTGTGTGTGTGTGTGTGTCAGTGACTTTAGTAGTTTTTCTTTCATTTGTAGTGATGTTCTTATTGTATTGTTTAGAGTCATTTTTATACCTAACTGTTTGTCAGTAATAAGTTATAATAACTTTTATCCTTTAATATTAATAATTATTAAAACACGATGATTGATATTTATCAATATCAAATGAGATATTTAATAATGAAATATCTCTCCACTATACCCAGGGCCTCATCATTCATCACTCATGGCTACAAGACTAGGAGAATGGCCGTCGAACATGCTGTGCCACTAATCACTGACATCAAGTGTGCTAAACTTTTTATTAAAGTTAGTAGGGAAAGGATGCAGCTGTTGTATACATTTGAAAGTTAAACAAACAATATTCTAATAAGTGGGTGTGTACATACTGTACTATGTAAAGAATGTGGTGGGTTGTATAAACACTGTACATATCAATGGGCGGGTTTAGCATTTATTTAACCCCTTGTGTGGCTTACAACTAATATAAGATCAGCAATAAGGTACTGTAGTATCCTAATACTTGTAATATGTAACTATATGTACATTTTTCTGTGTTTTATCACAGGCACTATTCAAAATGCAAAAGAAAGCTCCAGAGTTAAAGACGTATTTTGATTGCATTTCATCTCATAGGACCGTGAGACTGCCAGGTCTGTGTCTGCATACTTTATAATTTAAAAACATTTCCCTCTTCCTCTCTTTTCTTTCCCACTTACCCCCTTTTATTTCACTCTCTCCCACTCTTTCTTCTTCCTTAATTGTCTCTTTCCTTCTCTCTTCCTCTTTTTTCTCCCTCCTCCCCCCCTCTCTCCCTCCTCCCCCCTCTCTCTCCCTCCTCCCCCCCCTCTCCCTCCCTCCTCCCCCCCTCTCTCTCTCCCTCCTCTCCCCTCTCTCTCTCCCTCCTCCCCCCTCTCTCTCTCAGGTCTTATTGATACTCATGTCCATGTTCGTGAGCCTGGTCAGACTCATAAGGAGGACTTTGCCTCTTGCACAGCTGCAGCACTGGCAGGTGGAATCACTCTCATTGGTTGCATGCCTAACACAGTTCCCGCCACTATTGACAATGAGAGTCTGGCACTGACGCAAAAAGTAAATTTGATTTTGAATTTTTGATACAACACACGAGTTTCTTATCATTGGCATATTGAAATACTTGTACTTGTATTAAAGTTTCTCACAGGACTTTGGTATAGTCCTCAGCTTCTTGTTTGTACATTTTAAAGTTGCTAGAAATCTGGTCAAAACAGGGACATAGTAAAATTTTTCCAAAAATGACTAGGAAAGAATTTTACATTTTTATAATTTTATTTGATGCATATACATGTTCTTATGTTGTGTAGCAAGTTTGAGCTAATTCCAATCGAAATTGAATTTTTTACGAATTTTTAAAGTTACTCAAAAATTGGACCAAAGTCCCTGTACTATAGTACAGGGTTTCGGGCCAAATTTTGCCAAAAATGACTAGGAGAGAATTCTCCATTTTTATAACTTTTTCTGATACATATACATGTTCTTATGTTGTGTAGCAAGTTTGAGCTGATTCCGATCAAAATTAAATTTTTTATGAATTTTTAAAGTTACTCAAAAATTGGACCAAAGTCCCTGTACTATAGTACAGGGTTTCAGGCCAAATTTTGCCAAAAATGACTAGAAAAGAATTCTCCATTTTTATAACTTTTTCTGATACATATACATGTTCTTATGTTGTGTAGCAAGTTTGAGCTGATTCCGATCGAAATTAAATTTTTTACGAATTTTTTAAGTTACTCAAAAATTGGACCAAAGTCCCTGTACTATAGTACAGGGTTTCGGGCCAAATTTTGCCAAAAATGACTAGGAGAGAATTCTCCATTTTTATAACTTTTTCTGATACATATACATGTTCTTATGTTGTGTAGCAAGTTTAAGCTGATTCGTAGAATACTTTGTCATTCATAGAAACTTTGGTATCTTCTACTGTTTGATAGAATCTTTACTAGAATTCTGTACCCTTTTACCATATACACGTACAAGATTACTAAAATGCTATAATTACAAAAATGAAGTTTCTCTTATTGTATTTTTGATTATTTGTATTTACATATTAATTACTGTTCATGAACAATGTGTGCGTGCATAGTCACGTACTGTCTGTCCTGTGTCCTTATTAATCATACCCAAGTCTGTCTGTACGTCATTCACAATGTTTGTTGGTACTAAAAGAGCTACCAATACAAAGTGTTATCTCCAATTGCTTTGTCTTTCATCTTGTCTGCTTCTCTTTGTTTGGCTATTTAATTTTAATCATCACTTCTTTTATCCATTTTTGTTGATAGTTTCATATGCACCCACTCATAATATTGTATACACTCATCACTTGTGTATGTAGAACTACTTGTATGACCATTTCTTATATAATATTGTTTTCGTGTTTACTTGTAAGTAATTTGTAGCTCATTTCCTGTAAATTAGTTTATGGTCTTGTCTTGTAAAACAATGTGGGGGTTTGTGTGTCCTCCTCTTTCTCTTTGATCTTAGCTCCGTTTGATTATATTTGTACATTAGTAACGTCTCATTCCGTTCCTTATCTCATTAATTAATTAATTATCGTATTATTGACATTTGAGAGGATATCATGTCTGTAGTAATTATCTTACCCCTCCCTCTCTCCCCCTTTTCCCTCTCCCTCTCCATCAGTGTGCTAGAGCAGGTGCCAGATGTGATTACGGCATATATTTAGGAGCCAGTGCCGACAACTATCCTTACTTACACAGGTACTCAAACAATATAGTTTTATAATTAAAATAAGTTACGTTTACTTACATGTGTGTGTGTGTGTGTATAATATTTTGTGTCTTTAATTTTCTTTTTCTCCTTTCAGACTCTCAAGTCAATCTTTTGCACTTAAAATGTATTTAAATAAAACTTTCACTTCACTAAGACTCGACTCAATGGAGTCTTGGATCAAAGTATGACAATTGACATTTTTATATAATTTTTTATTCATGAAAGTATACATGATAGTAATAACCAGCCCAGCTGCCACACTGTAGTATTGTTATGTCATTTCTTGATTATTATTTATATTTTCTTTTTTTCTCTAGCATTTTGAGAACTGGTCTTCTGATCGAGTTATTTGTGTTCACGCCGAAGAAAGGACAACAGCTGCTGTACTACTCTTAGCTGAACTGTACAAGAAACGTGTTCACGTCTGCCATGTAGCAAGAAAAGAGGAAGTGAGAGAGACGATAGCATCAGTCTACATGCACAATGTCATGCTGTCTGTCTGCTGCATATGAGAGGCTTTAGTTCACCAAATAATGGTAAAATAATACCCCCTTCTTCCATTCTAGATTATCATCATTCGAGCTGCTAAAGAGAAAGGTCTTCCTGTCACGTGTGAAGTGGCTCCTCATCATCTCTTCCTCACTCATGAGGATGCCGTGAGACTCGGAGGAGGGAAAGGAGAAGTCAGGCCTTGTCTGGTGACGGCTGAAGACCAGGAGGCTCTCTGGGAGAACATGGACATCATTGATAGCTTTGCAACTGACCACGGTGATTAGTATAGGAGAGAGAAGGAGGGAGGAAGGGAGGGAGAGAGAGAGGGAGAGAGAGAGGGAGAGAGAGAGAGAGAGAGAGGGAGAGAGAGAGGGAGAGAGAGAGGGAGAGAGAGAGAGAGAGAGAGAGAGAGAGAGAGAGAGAGAGAGAGAGAGAGAGAGAGAGAGACAGAGAGAGGGAGACAGAGACAGAGAGAGACAGAGAGAGAGAGAGAGAGAGAGAGGAAGGGAGGGAGGGAGGGAGAGGGAGGGGGAAGAGAGAAGATTTAGCTTTTCTAAGCCTTTATTGTTCTTTGCTTCCATTAGCTCCACACACTTTAGAAGAGAAGGAGAGCTCTTCTCCCCCACCTGGTCTCCCTGGACTAGAGACAATGCTTCCTCTATTGCTAACGGCTGTCAGTCAAGGAAGACTCACCATTGATGTATGCGTAAAACCAATATAGTTTCATTCTCATAATTCCGTTCCCATTCCTAGGATGTCATTCTCAGACTCTATACCAATCCTATGAAGATATTTGGACTCCGCCCGCAACTTGATACCCACATTGAGGTTGATCTAGACGAAGAATGGATAATACCCAACTCTCTTCAATACTCAAAAGTATATTAACGTACATGCAACTTTACTATAGTACGTGCATGTAAAATAGATTGACTTAATAGTAATATTTATTATTTATTCATTTTTTATTTATTATTATTATTGTAGGCAAAATGGACGCCATTTGCTGGCATGAAGGTCAAAGGTTGTGTCAAACGAGTCGTCTTACGTGGCGAAACAGTTTTTGTTGACGGCAAAGTCCTAGCCGAGCCTGGCTATGGTCAAGACGTGAGACTCCAGCCTCCACTCTCTCCCCCTCTCTCGTCGGCAAGGGGCATGGCTAAGACTCACTATCACCAGTCGGGCGGAGTTGAGTCGGCCAGTGATGGTCCTGAAGTGGGGTCCCTCCCTAACAGGACACGGCACGACTCTGAACCTACTGGGATTAAAGGTTTGTCCTTAAATATATAAATATAGAATTTATTTTAATGATGCATATTATTATTATTATTATTATTATTATATTTAGTTTTATGTAATTTTATCATCCAATATTATTTTGTGCCCATGCTTGTACCTTAAAGAAAATTTAAATTCGAAATATTGTTCTCACTTTATTTCTTCACTGATTCTTTCTCTAGTATTGGATGCTCCATCTTCTCCTCACAAGCGGTTCAATTCCCCCTTGCGTGGGCGACTTCGCTCTCCCAGCCCATTAGATTATCGTCCTCAGACTCCGCCCTCTTTTGATTTGCATTCCGACACGTCGAGCTCCGCCTATAACGACACCTCGGCATTACCATGGCAACCCATGTTCTACAAGCGTAACATATTGTCAGTCAGTCAGTTTAATAAAGAACAGGTTTGTGGGTGGGGCATGGGGTGTGGTTTAATGAGATGTCTTTTATAGCTTCATTATTTATTTAACTTGAGTCAGGAGATGAGGAAAAGGGTTAAGAAACATGGCTGTCTTGACATATTGAAAGTAATAAAATTTATATTTAATGTTCATAATAATACACAATTGCTGATATTTTAATTCCTCTATTTTATCCTTCAGGGTAGAGTCTTAGGTTCTATGTTTTATGAGGTTAGTACTCGGACCATGTGCTCATTCCAGGCAGCGATACAGCGACTTGGAGGGACTGTTGTATCACTTACTAAAGACAGCTCTTCTGTTATGAAAGGAGAGTCACTGGAAGGTTAAGAAAAACAGCTAGTTTAATGATAAATGGTTTTTAATGGAGGCAGTGTTGCATATTAATATTGTAACTATTGTAGAAAGGAAAAGATAGTCCAGACAAGCGATTAGTTATCTGTTTATTTCTTGTTTGTTTATTTATTTATTTTTTTGTTTATTTTTGAATAGATACTGTTCGTATGATGGATTCTTATTGCGATGTATTAGTGCTCCGTCATCCTGAACCATTTTCAGCAAAAGTATGTTTCACTTCATTTGTGTAAATAGTTCTAATTCATGGTAGCACCCTGTACTATATAGCACAGGCTATTCCATCAAAATTAAAAAAAAAAGGATTTCTTATGCATATTGAAGTAATGTCCTTATACTATGTAGAAAGTTTGAGCTGTTTCTGACAAATAATTTTTGAGTTATGAGCATTTTAAAAACGAGTCAATTTTTGGAAAGAAGCAAAGGCTATAGCCCATGAATTTTTCCAAAAATGGCTCCGAAATCATCCCAAATTTTTATTACATTTTCTTATACATATTGATCTACTTATGCTATGTAAAAAGTTTGAGCTGATTCCGACTTCAATTTTTTGTGTTACAACCATTTTAAGAAAACGCCAAAATTCTTTAAAATACCTAAGGCTATAGCCCATGGTATTTTTCAAAAAATGACCCCGAAATTACCCCCAATTTTTATTACATTTTCTGATACATATTGATGTCCTTATGCTGTGTAGCAAGTTTGAGCTGATTCCGACTTCAATTTTTCAAGTTATGATAAGAATTATTTCTTTCTTTTCTTAGCGTGCATCAGTTGTATCCCAGAGGCCACTCATCAATGCTGGGGATGGAATTGGCGAACACCCAACTCAAGCCCTCCTGGACGTATTCACCATCAGAGAAGAAATTGGAACCGTGAACAATATAACGGTGAGGGGCATGGCTAGTTATAAATAAATTATTAATAATTATTAATAGTTATTATTTTGTGATCTTAATTAATATTATATTTATATATGTGTAGGTTACTCTTGTTGGTGATCTGAAGCATGGTAGGACTGTTCATTCTCTGGCTCGGTTGCTCACAAACTATCGTATTAAGCTTTGTTACGTGTGTCCTGATGAGCTAAGCATGCCGGTCGAAGTGGTTGAAGAAATTAGAAAGAAAGGGATACAACAAGTATGTATAGTTTATAAGTTCACTTTATATTTAATTGCACTGATTTATTAATGATATTCTAAAATTGAGACGATGCTAAAGCCAAACCTACAATACAATGCTAAAATTACTACACTTTAATATATACTCTCAGGGTTTCCCTATTAAACTAATTGAGCATGCAGTATGTAAGTGTAGCATACTATAGTACAGGGACTTTTGCCCAATTTGGACCAATTTTAAAAATTTGTAAAAAATCTAATTTTGATTGGAATCAGTTCAAACTTGCTACACGACATAAGAACATGTATATGTATCAGAAAAAGTTTTTAAAATGGAGAATTGTCTCCTAGTCATTTTTGGCAAAATTTGTCCCGAGACCATGTACTATAGTACAGGGACTTTGGCCCGATTTTGGAGCAACTTAAAAAATTCATTAAAAATCTAATTGTGATTGGAATCAGCTCAAACTTGCTACACGACATAAGAACATGTATATGTATCAGAAAACATAATAAAAATAGAGAATCCTTATCTTTGGATTTTTGGCAAAATACCCTGTACTATAATAGTACAGGGTCTTTAACAAGATTTTGGAGCAACAGAAATTTTTGCTGACAAGAAGATAAGCAGTATGCTGGGAAATTTTGAGTATTCTATTGTTTTAATTTTTATTATAGTCTATGTCTATAATACAATAATACCCAATATAATTAAATATAAGTATTGAATTACATGTGCATCAGTACATGTATGTTAACTGCTATGCAATGCTCCCTCACTTTATTTCCTCCATATCTCTTAAATGGATTATGTTTACGTCTCTATTGATCAAGACTGTTTACATTGTGGTTTACGAATGGTAATTACCCTGCCTTTGTAGTCTCGTATACATGTACATGTATGTCCATGTACATGTATGTCCTCTTGGTATTTAATCACATGTCACATGCTTGGGACAGGCTGCTGTATCTAATTATATCTTCCTAAGTCTAATTTTTGTTTATCTTTAAGTGCTAAGTGTATACCTGTACATTGTATCTGTTCCCATGAGATGCTTGTGCATGTTGCATTACATCAGATATTACTGTACATGCATGTATGTGCACGCACTGTGTAATTTGTATGATGTGGTTTATAGGCAGGATTCCCATTCATGGTCTTACGGTAATTCCAGAGTGCCTGTTTCCAGCTGTTGGCAAATTTTAAAATTGTATTTGTTTGTCGACCACCGTGGCTCTACAGCTGTGAAATGCATCGGATTAAACCCTTTGCCATTTTAATTATAAATGTTATGACACGTGTAATGGTAATGGGTATATATATCTTAATTAATGGCTTGATCTCCCCCTCTTTACTCCTTCCTTCCTTATATGTACCCACACATCACTGACTATTGAGTATATTATAAACACTATCACTGCTAGTATTGCTTCATTATCACCCACTCACGCGTATGTTTGTGGTCTTTGGGACTTTGATACTATTTACTAGTGTGTACTATATCTACACAGTCCATCCTGTCTGTGACCATCAGATATCTGTCTCAGTTGGTTTGTTTTCTCACTAGAGGGCATTCATTATGAATTAATCGACCTTTTCCTCTAAGAGTTTTTCTTGTTTATAGAAAGAGGATGTGGGGTGGGGGTGGGTGTTGTTCGCGTGTTTCTGTCCAGCTGTTTTTTTTAGAGTGAAATTGGATGTGGTTTGTTGAGGTTTGAGTGATGCAATGATGACTAATGCCTGTTAGTGTGTCTAATCTTAGTAGCACATTCCATGTTGGTTTTAGTAGTATGTCTTTGGAATTTGTCACAAGTTGTGTATGTGTATGTACATGTATGTATGTATGTACATGCATAATTGTATTTCTTTGTAGATATTAATTTAACTTTATTAGCTTGTACATGTATGTATGTATGCGGTGCAGTTGTTAATTTGAATATTCATGTGCAGCTGCTCGAGTAATTGTGTAATGTGAAAGAGGGAGAAAGGACACGTGAGTACTAAAACAATGTTTAGAAAGTTTCTAAAATTTTATATGACATCATTGTAACATTTGATAACACTTAAGAACACAGCAAAGAGGATCATTATAACTTTTGTTGGGTGATGCCATCAATCAGGAATGTATACAGAAGCTTATGTCATCACACAGTGGTTATTATTATATTGTACACTCATGTACCTAACTGAAACTATATGTTATCTTCATAGTCTCATAATTATCTTGGTATCAGTTTATGGGAAGGTTAGGAAGACCTTGTTTTCAATGTAATGACAAGTAGCTTTCTACCTAGCATATAAACCAGTTAGATTGGTTGGATTCAGTATAACGCATTGTATTGTTATTAGTAGTGTCTCTGTTTATTTTTAGTCATGCTTTTGGGACTTAACCCTCTTTGTTATTTTGTGGCTGTAGAAAATTTGTTTTGCGATCTATGCAACCCGCCATAAACAAATAATGATAATCCTAAGACCACTCCTATACTGTACATTCTCATTCCAGGACTTTTATACTTCGCTGCAAGAGGCTCTCCCCTTGACTGATGTATTGTACATGACCCGCATACAGAAGGAAAGGTTTTCAAATGACGAGGAGTACTCTAAAGTTCGAGGGTGCTACAAGTTGACGCCCCAGGTTCTCACTTGGGCTAAAGAGAAGATGATCATAATGCACCCACTGCCAAGACTAGATGAGATCAGGTGGCTATTAGTTGTAATAATGAGGGAGACATACTTTTTAAAAAGTCTATTTAACGTAATCACTTTACTCTTTCTTTCTCGCCTTCTCCTTTTTTTCTCTTTCTTTCTTTCTAGTGTTGAAGTGGATTCTGATCCAAGAGCGGCTTATTTCAGACAGGCGGAGTGTGGTCTGTATGTTAGGATGGCATTACTAGCAGCTGTTCTTGGCTGGCAGCAATCTTCACCTTCACAACAGCAGCAGTAGTAGTAATGATAGTGATACTTGTTCCTGTTGTTATCATCTTTGCGGCTAATGGACAAACTTTTCTCTTGCTCATAATTTTTTGGTATAGGATGATTGTATTATAATAATTTTGACTGATAAGGTTGAATAAAAATGATTATTTTAGGGTCATAAAATGATATTTAATAGATATCACACCTACTTATACTTTGCTGATTTGGGTGGAGCTCGTTTTGCAGAATTAGCTATTAGTGTGAAATGGAGTCATGTTTGCATTATTATGGCCATTAGCACAGGATGTGAAGGGAATTCTTTTTGCTAAAGGAGCTTATGAATATTCTCATGACGTAGTGACGCATAGCTAGCTAGGCATAGATCTAGGAGGAGCTCTGAAGAAGCCGTATCCATCTAAAAGATGGCAGCTATGGCTGGACCACAGCCAACTGATAGACCGTCAGTGGACGGTCTCGGTCATACCTTACAAGCAAAGTGTTTGGATGTTTATAAAGCTGCCATTGACCTACAGAAACTTGCTGGTCTGATGTTTCAAGAAGCTGAGCAAGAAAGAAAAGAATGGGCCTACAGGATGTCAGTACTACAAGTAGAAAGACAGAAGATAGAAGAGGAGAAGAGACAGATCATAGAACTAAGCGAAGAGAAGCAAGAAGAGCTTTTACAGAGCATATCTAGCCAAGAAACTGAGATACATGGTACTGTAGAGATAATTGTGAGTGGGCGTATGTTTACTACTTCAACAAGGACTATTGCTAGTTTACCCAATTCTCTACTAGCTGAAGCAGTGAGCTTAATGCTTAAAGAACTGGAAGAGAATAGAAAAGAAAGGGGAAGCAGCAAAAAGAAAAAGAAGCTCAAATTGAGGATTGATCGTGACCCAAGACACTTTGAACTCATCCTCAATTACCTCAGGGAAGCCGATCGGTCCTTACATTGGTTGTACGACCCTGAAGCTATGAAAATGTCTGACCTGGAGGCAGTACGTGATGAGGCTGACTATTACAAGTTGAAAAACCTTGCACGTTTGGTGACGTGGGAGCTTGTGTCTCGTAAACCAGTGGTGTCTTCTAAGAGACTGCCCTCGGTATTAAAACTAGATAAGTTTGAGAATGCGGAGGCTGCCCCGTTTTATAAAACTCTGCAGACAGTGAAGTTAGAGGAAGAAAACTTTACCGAGACTGTTTTTGAAAACATAGTTTTCGTACATAACCAGACTTTTATTTCGTGCGATTTTCGGGGGTCGGTTTTTCGAAGGTGTTTCTTTAACAATGGGGTTTTGATGAATCTTTCTGGGAGCAACATAAGCGGAATTAAGTTTATTGATTGCAGGTGTAACTCAAGAATGAGCCCAGCTGATGTATTCATTGTTGATGAAGACCAAAAGGGCAATATCCCTTCACGCTAGAGGGAAAGATAAATAAGACTTTTAATCTGTTGCTTGTATTTAGTTTTCATAATTATTATATAAATTCAGCTGGCTGAATAGAATAGTATTTTTTTAATTTTCATCTCTATGAGTGTGTGTTGAATATGTGTAGCTCGGCATTGTAGTGACATTTTTTGTTTAATCAATATAATTTATAATATCAAAAATTGGTAATAATAGTGATAATGATAAAATATTAATGATTTCAAGACAATTCAGACACTAGACATTGTAAGTGAGGGAGAAAGAGAGAGAGAATTAGTAAGAAAAAATTAAAAATAATTGTAATAAATAACTTAAGAAGAAAGTGGAGAGTGAGTTATAATATCAAAAATAATTTGACAAATAAAATTAACTGCTAAACAAAATCCAAGCATGACGACATCCACACATTATAAAACAATGATAAATTGTAGGAGGAGGAGGGTGCATTATTGTAAAAATATACAAGACAGAAAACACTTTAACAAAAACACAATAATAATAAGTCTATATGATATAATAGTGTACACTGATAGCTCTAAACTGTTACTATCTATAATGCAGTGGAGGTAGATGCATCACTCGGCAGTGAGATTACGTTGGCCGAGTTATGCAGTGCGTTGTTCCTTGGCCCCATCCTATTGCTATGATGATGATGATGATGACGATGATGGTGATTGTGACCATGACTACCAGTCGGTGGATATATTGCCCCATCACTGTGAATAGAGTGAGTACTGCCGGAGCTCGAGTGATCGGAATCGATCAGTCGGACGCTTTGACTGCTGTGAATGCTCGAGGAGTCTCCAGGCATACTGCGATTTTGTCTGTGATAACTAATAGTGCTACTCTTATGGGAAGGGGATGCGTGATGTGGATGAAGACCGTTTGTCGCGACCGGGTACGGTGGACGATGGTCGGATAGACGTGGGGCTGGTCGTTGGGGTCTATGGGGAGGAGCCTGAGACGGGAGTACAGGAGAGGGACCCCTTCCCTCTCTCTTGGTCTTAGGAATCAAACGGGCGGGGCTGGACTCTTTGTAAGAGTCGGTATCAGAGAGTTCATTATCAGAATGAACTGGTTGCAAGTAAGTGGAAGCTTGAGCAGGGGGTGGAGCTTTGCCTTCCTTTTCGCTCTCCGATTGTGAAGAAACATAACCGGAAGAATATGAAGTTATGCTGTTGTGTTTATTTTCAACTGAGAGTTTATTGCTGTTATAAGGTGCAGTGTTGCTACTACTGCCCAATATGGTGGCTGCAGATGACAAGAGAAGACTCTTCGAAGTATCGTCAGTTGGATGAATGTTATCAAGTCGCGGATTAGAATTTGGCCTGGAAGACGAAGATGAACTTATATCGTCTGTTCCACTGCTTTCGTCTGACGAGTCTCGTTTGGATTTCATGGGGGCAGGGTTTGTGGGGGTAATGCCCGAATATGTCATTGAAGGAGGAAAAGCAATGATGGGAGTGTTTAGCTCAGGCTCTGAGCTTGCCAACTCTTTACTATTGACTGGATTTAAAGCAGCGCTTAGAGGAAGGAAGAGATCCATTTCGTCATCAGTGTGGACTTTACGAGAGCTCCTTGCCTTTCTCATTGATTTCTCGTCTTCCTCGGTTTCAGTACTAGAAAATGTCAGTTCTTCATCATGAACTTTAGAGGTGGAGTTTGAGCGTTGTCGTTTGAGGTCTCCTCCGAGATGGAACCCAACACGGTGAGGGGAGCGAGGGGTACGACCACGTCTTCTCAACATTTGCTTGTGTCCCTCCGTCCCTGGGGTCTGTATGTCCTTCATTGCTTTATCAAGAGTGTCCTGGCCCTGCTCACGTGCTATTTTCTCAAACTGCTTTGTAATCATTTTACAGCACGGGCAGTGCTTCCTATTGGTGCAGTTCTGATGCTGGAGGTAAAGCATGACGGCTAACATGATGCTATCCTTAACGGGCGTGGACGACCCATCCCCATGGCGACGTCCTTTCTGATTCTCCGGGATATCAAGATGAGTCGGTCGATTTGGACGTGGAGTATCTTGATTCGGTTCTGAGTCGGACTCAAAAGGTAGAGTCCCAGTTGGAGACACGAGATTAGGTACGTTGATCATTACTGGCGTCGGCTCTTGGACTTGAACTGAAGGTACCTGCTGATTAAGATTAAGACTGCTTGGTGGGGCTGCACTAGCTTGAGGCATTATCATTGAAGTTGTCGTGGTAGGCATCTCCGCTGTATATGGGTAACCATAGCGAGGCATGTCATAGTTTATTTGCTGCGTGAGCTGCATACGTGAATGGTAACTAGTCGTTGAGGACTGGGATGGGCCAGAGGAATGAGAATGAGTAGAGCGAGTGTGACAGCTGCAGTTACAACCGTTGTGTACATGTGGGGGAGAATCAGAGTTGATTAGTGACACTGCACTATTGGCGCCAAGCATTGAGGAGTCGGTGTGCTGGTTGTAAAGTGAAGCATTGGTTAGCTCAAATTTCCCGTTGTTCCCTTCTTCTAGTCCTCGTCCAGTTTGATGACCATTAGAGGATTTATTATTGATCTTCTTACTATTGGTCTTCCTACATCTATTACCGATCACTAGTAGTATTAATATTATTATCAGGATGAATATGATCACAGTGACACCTGCTATTCCAGCCGCTACCGCAGTGATAGTTGAAGTAGGTGATACAGGTCCTACAGTTGGAGTCGATGATATATTTGGTATTGACATTGATGGCATGGAAGAAGGACTGGGCATCATAGTAGTTGTAGTTGGTCGTAAGGAGCTAGTTGATGGTATAGGAGGAGCAGCAACTGTACAGAAAGAAAGAGAAAAAACAAATAATAATAATAATGATAATAATACAAGATGAGTAATATGTTTACACTTGTCTATTACACACACATGTAGGACCAGGACATAAAGAAACAGAAAGGGCTGGGGGAGTGCCAGTACAACCAGCTTTAGCTTATACACACAAGGAGTCCCTAGTAAGCATTACATGTATTTATGTACACACATATTAGACCTACATGCATGCTGGAAAAATCCCTTTACTACTTCCTCTGTTGACATTAGGGATAAAGTGAATATATACAGGCATGCATGTACATATATAGGATAGAAAGGCATGATCCACTGGATTTTATAGCAATAGCAGAGCAACATGATATCACAAACAACTTGGATTAAAGCATTCATGTATGAGAATTGATAAATCTTTCTAAAGGAAGGAGGATGTGATTATGATAAGCTCTCCAAAGGTCTGAGTTTATGATAACATTAACAATCTTGATCCCTTGGTTTTCAGTATTACCAGACACATCAATCATTACAGCATACAATACTACTCACTTGTAATAATTTCTTCTAGGGATTCTTCTGAAGGCTCATCAAAAAAAGACAGGTTATACCTGACTTCGTATTGTCCTGGATATAAATCGACACTGCTTAAATTAACTGTGATTTGATTATCCTGTAAAGTCATATTGTTGAATTTAAACTCTCTCTCATTAGAATTGTTGAATGTGACAATAAGCTTAATAGTGTCACTGACATATGAAGTAGGTATGTTAAATGGGAGCGATACAGAAAGAGATGATAAGCTTTCATTATTATCACCATAAGTGGACACAGGAGCAGGCAATTTTTTATCATCTATTAAAAGAAAGAGAGAGAAATCATTACTAATTGAGATTATATACATTTGTGTGAATCCAGTAGATAATTTTTTACAAGCACTAATAGTGTAGGAGTGTAGCTACATTGTAGAAACAATTCACATGAGTAGTCAGGCAGCCCTAAAGCTGGAGAGTCCCTAATTTATTCTAACATTGTTATTTTCATAGCCCATTAAAACAATTGTCAGCACTCAGCTATATCCAGTGTACACAGGTACAGTTGCACCATAGTAACCTCTCACTCTCTCTGCAACCATAAGTACAGTTATGTTATTTGAAGTACAATTATATTATTTGAGTACAATATTATTATTTAAGGTTAAACAAGTCCATTTATCACTTATTACTTGTGTCGATGTTGTTGCTAGTCTGTGTAGACACAAATATTTCAAATATGATGAACTGAATCCAAAGCAAATGCCAAGCATTAAAATACATACACACACACACACAGATACTTTAGGCACTGGGTCTGGGAATATTAGTTTAAAGGGCCCCATATTACATTTGCATTTTAAATTACATCAAAAGGCAAATGTAATGTAATTTAAGGGCCAGAGTTATGTAAGCACAACAAAATGATTATTTCTAAACATATAAAAGTTGCTATAGTGGATTGCTATTGATTAGAACTAAAACTAAAGCTGTCAAATCCCAAATGAACACACAAATCGATGGACACTATTATAATCAACAGTTTATTCAAGTTAGTTCCTATCTATCAAATTGGTGCAAAGCACGTACAAATGAACACATAGCTCAGTGTATGTTATTGTTGATAATAATTTGATATAATCATGACTAATAAAGAGAAGAGGTCGCCTTTGGATTCCTTTAACTTAGTTAGCTAAAGGAAGCCAGTTGGTTGAAATGCTTCCTGACAGTCTAGAATTATGGTCATTAGGTACACACTCCAGCCCTCCCTTCCCCTCTCTCCCCTCACTTCCTTTTAAAGCCACCAAAATAACAGAGACAAAGAGAGTAAGGGAGAGCTAAAGAAATGTCAGAGGAATCATGCATGAAGAACACCTGTGACAATTGAACTAACACACATGAACTATCAAATTCTACTACTATATACTATACTACACATGACCTCTAGCCTCTGACTTGTGTGTAAGCTATTAACTAGCAGGCACATGCATGTATATTATCATTAGAATGAACCTTTGCTATCTGCTACTACTCAAATTCACAAAGGAATGTCAGTGTATGTGAACTGCTACAAATTAGCAAGCAAAAGCAGGAAATTGAATGGTACGCTGGATGCTATAGACAAGTTAATGGGTTAATCCCTTTGAATTATCAAGAGTGAGACTGTTTTACAAACATGAATGTAGGAAAGAGAGAGGAGAGAGGGAGAGAGAGAGAGGGGGGAGAGGGAGAAGAGAGGGTGAGAGAAGAGAGAGAGGGAGAGGGAGAGGGTGAGAGAAGAGAGAGAATGGGAGAGGGTGAAAGAAGAGAGAGAGAGGGAGAGGGTGAGAGAAGAGAGAGAGGGATGGGTGGCATATTGTATCTGTATATAAACAACTAGGAGGAGCTCTTTGTGTACATGTATGCAGGAATGCAAGGCTCATAAGTTTGACTATATACGAGAATGTTTTTATCATTTCATTGCTATACAGGTGGCTGCATATTTCACTGCTCTCTGTTTATGTGTGTGGATGTTACAATTGTTCTCATGGAGGAGGAAGGAGTATACACATTGGTAGGGGCATGACTCTACCAAAGCATAAATGGACAACTAACATTCTAAGTTATGTTAGGCCAAGCGTTATTTGAGCATAATAATTGTCAGTTTTGGTCCTAATTGGACGATAAACACATAAACTGGCAGGCAATGTTACCAAACATCTCATTGTATATTGAGATAAACGTGGACCATATTTGATTCACGCTATTAACTAGCTATTCCATGAAACAACCAATAGTTTGTTATTGAATCTTATATTTGCGTATCATGCAAAAAACGACATCATTTTTTTGTCTTCAATAATTACATGCAGCCATTTGTGTGGCCCTGTTTTTAGGCTAAAATATTTCATTTATTAGAGTGATCCCCTCTCTCTCCTTTTTTGCTTCACAGAAAGGAAGTGACAATGCAATCAAACAAAAAATGAAGGTATTCATTTTTTGTTTAAAAGCTTCAGTGTATATGTTTCTAGTTGTGTATTCTGTATGGGCATTATATCATAGACCAGTTGATCATTCAGCATTAGAGAATGTCTAAAAGTATGAATATTGCTACAGTTACAATCCTTAAACTTATTCATTGAGTTGGGAAAGCCATAATGAGGTTAAAAGGGAATGTTACCAGTAGCTAAAAATAGAGAAAACATTCCAGGTGGCGGGTGGTACATGCCTCAATAAATTTCTACTAAAAATAGATCAAAGCTCATAAAATATGACCCTGGTACTTCTGTTAAAATAGAAAGAGTAAGTACCAGGTGTTCCCTTAAATTCGAAGCCAATTTATTTCAGCTGATCATCCTACTACTATTACTATTCGTAACATAAGCTCTTGTGTTCAAGTAAAAACTGTACATGATGTTATCTGATATGAAAGGCACTCGTGTGTGTCATTCAGCTACAACCATTGTGAGTGACACTCCTAAAGTAAACATACCACTGGGCTAACAGCGTGACTCTAACAGTAAACAACAAGTGATTTATTTCTCACATAAAAAAAGAAGCTATATACACTACAAGTCATTAATGAGTAGAATTACCAATGAAAACTGTTACTTGGCACTAACATGACAGATTGGCAATACATACATGTACATGTACAAGTATACATAAACAGACAATGACCACATATTCACATTAATAGGTGTTGTTGAAATCATATAGTAGACATTGGCCTTTGTCCTCTCTGTGATTCTCTCACTCTAGCTCTCTCTCTCTCTGGCAACCTTATTGAATTAGAGTGAGCTTTGGTAGTATTAAAAAAATCCCCCTAGCTCATAGAAATTCTTTTAAATTGACTTGTTGGGATTCACTCACTCCCTTAGCATACACAGATATACAGACTCACTTTCAACATTACTACAGATTCAATAACATCATGCATGTACATGTACATTCAACAGCATGTACATGTACATAGAGGTCATATACTCATGCATACATACATGCTAATGTACATGTACATGCAGCTACTACAGATAATATGCTATATGTAGATATATAGGGATACATTCTTAGTAAATGTTAGTTGTAAATTATCAAGATTATTAGATTCTTACCTCTGACAATGAGTCCTGTTCTTGTACTAGTCTCAGTTGTACTATCATTGACATGGCAAGCAACTGGATAGACTCTTCTGCTGCTGTTTATTAAATTCCATGAGAAAGTACAATCGATCTGGTAGCTGGTAGAATAGTTACATGTCATATTGACATTCGTGCCTAGTAATGTCTTAGAACACATACGAACGGTTGGGTTGTCAGTGGTCACATTACAGTCAGCAGGACTGATAAACTCATTGCCAGATAGGTCAGATACTTCAAAATTAATGCTGGCATTGCTTTGTACTGAAGCAGAGCAGGAGAATTTAACTTTATTCATGCCATTCTCAACTAGAACTGGCTCCATGTTTTCAATAAATTTAGTTTGAACTATAAAAGAAGAGAATCATAATAATAAATTGTTAAGGTTACTAATGAGACTTACTTTGATCATTTTTTGAAGTACTCAATGTGTACGATGCTACTGTAGTGGCATTCGTTAAAGACCCAGGAATATCTGGTTCAATTCGACATTCATAGGTGGTGAAAGTCGGAGAATAATCAAAACTTAAACTGAAATTATCGGGGTTTATGTAGAAGTTATTGTCTTCACAGGCAGAGTCTTTAATACACCTTTGACTCCCATCTAGCAACCATGCAACTTTATAGCCTTCGTGATAGTTTCCAGGTACATAGCCAGTGCAGTCAAGAACCTGACGTTGCCCCCAAGTAAAGATTTTAGGTACTTTAGTATCATTTTTTACAAATTGACCTAAAATGATGAGATTTTAAAACTTTAACAAAGCTGACATTGTAACTTACGGAGAACTGTTACAGTGCCAAAGGCATCATTATCATTCATACTGCCACATTCATATACACCTTCAGTAGTACCATCAACTATCAGGTTATAACTGTTTTCAGACAATTTTGCGCCGTTAAGATATATATTAAGGGTACAGTCAGTAAGGGTAACATTATTACCGCTTCTTGGATCTATTCTGAAAGTCGCCTCAGCTAAAATAGGAACAAGCACCAACAGCAGGAGCCGTGACACTAGCAGCGACCGCGTCTTCATGGTCACTAAACACTGAGTGAAGAAGTATTCCTAGAACTTATAACTAAGAGAATACACAGGGTTTTATAAGAAGAGAGACAGAGAGAGGGACAGTGAGCGAAGAGAAGTCAGATTTGGCCCACTAGATTAACATGCTAAAGGAAGGATGACCACAGTACATGCACGTTAGCTATATATATATAGACTAGTAGGTATGGGGGAAACACCACTTTAGTGTTGATAAGGAAGTACCGGTATAATAAATTCTATGAATAATATTATTGAGTGATGATTAAAATAGTACAAAAAGTTCCAAAAAGAAGTGAGACATTTTTTAGTTCACTTTGGGAATAGTTCTACATTGTCACAAAAACCTAAAATAAGCACAATGATAAAGTGCAACTCTTAGCTGCTAAAAATAGTAACAAAATAGTGTTCCAAAAGAACCGCTCACTCACTAAAGATTTTAGAATTTATAGATTGATGCATCTAGTTAGTTCAACTCTAGTTCTGTATTTAAAATTAGATCTCTAGTTATTTATGATCATAAATGTCTGGTTAGATTTAGATCTTGACTATCTATTGCAAACTTAAAAAAATTGTACTAAAGGTAGACTGATAGTTTTTTTGCAGCCATTCTTTATTTTTAAGTTTGCAGAAACTTTTTTGGTGGAGCTCAGAAGGTGCAAACAAGAGTGTTGTTAAAATTTTAACTAATTTTAATAATATTTAATAAGTCAATAATTAATAAGTCAATGAATAATTAATTAGTGTGTGAGTAACGCCCTTTTACTAACTGGGCACGCCTGGCAGAGAAGAATCTGCCATTTTCCACCAAATACCAGCATTTAGGACGCCATTACTAGGTAAGTAATCAGCCCATAGTCTTGGAAAGCAACCAATATTAATGGAGTGCCCAAAATGATCACGCTATCCCTTTTCTCCTTGTTATTCTAATTAACGCCTCCCTTTACCCATTTAGGTGGTTCAAAATGGCGGCCAAACAAAGTCTAGGAGACAGTGTATTTCTAGTGAGGACTTTAGAGAAGATACTCAACGACAAGGAGACGAAACGATCTCAACACGCGAAATTAAAAAAAGCTTGTGAAGACGCCCTTAGTAAGTATTTTACAGCTGTTATGTTTTAGCGGGTGTGGCAAAATAAACTATTATATGAATTACATGAATTAATGGCCTAATCCTGTTTAGAAAGTTTGAGGTGAACCTGATGACAAGTTTTTAAGTTATGGGCGTATTATGAAAGTCTTGCAATTAGCTGTAGTATCAATGTGTTGGATTTGGGCGAAGCATGACAAATTACTGAGACTAGACCGGGACTGGTACAAGAAAGTTTTAATTAGGAACGTTAGGTGCTTTTAATAGCAAACTACTTGCTATATACATATATGTACATGTCATATATGTATTATCATGTGTCCTTTAATTTCAGTATTGCATTTTGTGTCATGTCTTCTTGTTGTTGCTTGAATAAGTGTCCACCTGCTACTTGTGGGCGAGCGGGTTTATCCTCTTTGGGTATTTCACCTTCTTTATCTTGCACATCTTTTTTTACACACTTTCCTCTTCCCTCCCTATCTCTTTTCCCTATCCTGTAATCGTACACCCTCTTAATCTAAAGTCCTAAACCCCTACTCCTCATTCTACAACACCTCTCAGACGTACACGTACACGTACATGTACATTCACGCTTACCTCACATGTTAATACTTCACACATGCCGACCATTAACATTATTTTTGTTTATCTTATTAAACTCATGATATGTCTCCATACCTAAGTGATTGTCACTTACATGTATACATGTACATGTACATGTACAGTACATTTTGTTAAGTATCTGTATTGTGTCAATGCTCTCCCAAAACATGGATCCACCAGTAAAGGGGATGACACCTTCCATTCATGTACATTTCACATGTATACACTTGTCCTTTGTGTATGGTTTTACTTTCCTTTACGATGAGTATCATTAAATATAATTGATAAATAAATGAAATAGTGTCGATAGCACTTCATTCTGATCACTCACTTCCTTGCTACTTGGCATTTTAGAAATGATTGTAATCATACACTTAATTTATAGCTGCACACACACACACACAATAAATATGTCACACATACATGTACATACACACACACACACACACGCAACACACACACACACACACACAATAACTATGTCACACATACATGTACATGTACACACAAACCTCGCATGTGTATGGCTGACCCTTTTATCCCTTTGGCTTTTATTCTTATTATATTTTTGTACTAATTGGTGCACTTTGTTGATACATGTATACATGTACATACAAATACATGCACATGTATCCTTTAATTAGCTGCCTTATTAGAACTTTGATGAGACAAGGAATTATTTCATGAGTCATTCTCTGGGGGGGATCTTTGAGTTTTGCTTGTACTAAAATATCTACTAATGATCTACTAAAATATATACTAATGATCCTTGGAATTATACCATAATGGATGAAGAGCTTTAAGTGTCTGGTGTACATGTACATGTACATAGAGGGGAGAGAGAGGGAGGGAGAGAGTTGAACCAGCTGCTAGACAATAATATTGGCAGTTGTAATCTGTTTATTGATCCTTCTTATTTTGATTCATTTCCACGTAATAAAGGAAGCTTTATTATTTTTAATTTTTAATTATAAGCCACATGTACATGTACACATGCAGTGTAGCCCAATAATTTTTAACTATTATTATTAATATTATTATTTCATTATTATTATCATTGGTATTTGGTTTCACCATTCAGTATAACTTTGGGTTATGCTTCATATCATGTGGGGTTTATTGTTACTATTTTTAAATATTGCTGCTATTTATAGTATCGGATATTGCGTGACTATTGGCGGGGGAGAGTGCCATCCGTGTGTGTTTTCTATACTTGTAATTTTCTGTCACTTTTAAAGTCTCTTGTGTATTGCAGCTGTTTAGGCAACAACCCAATTTGTATTGTACACCTTTTATTATTATTATTATTATATTATTTCCAATATACTACTCTTCGTATGACGATTCTCCCCCTCTTTCTCTCTCTCCCTCCTTTTCCCCCTCTCTTCTTTCCTCCCTCCATCTTTCTCTCTTTTATTATTTGTTTTTTTTTTCATCTTCTCAGAGGAACTCAAAGATGAACAGAAAGAGCTCAAGGCAAAATCTTCAAGGTGAGAGAGAGAGAGAGAGAGAGAGAGAGAGAGGGGGGGAAATCAGCAAGTCCTTATGTATATATATTCTTGAGTATTACAGAGAAGGAAGCTCGAGAGGGAAGCATGAAGTTAAAAATAAAAATGGATCCATTACCTCATTCATGCTAACCATATGAATATATTTATACAATACTTAGAGTCAATACTAATGAGATTCATGCACATTCTCAATTCACAAATGCACACCCTTAAATCCACTGTTGTATGTTGTCATTGATATTATGTACTCTGCCAGGACTCTACCAGGAGAAACTTTGGAGGGAAAAACTAATGTATATATCATGATGATTGCCTCATCTTTGTTACATATGACCCTGTAATCTCATACACTTTATTATCGTGTGAATAAGAGGACTGATGTTTAAATTTTTGGTTTTTTTTGTTTGTTTGTTGTTTGTGAGATTAATAGTTGTTGTTGTTGTTGTTGTTATTACAACATTCAACATGACCTGTACTTGCTTTCTTACTCCCTCTCTCCTCTTCTCTCCCTCCCTCCCTTTCTCCTTCCCTCCCTCCCTCCCTCTCTCTCTCTCCCTCTCTCTTCTCTCTCTCTCTCTTTTTGACTTCAAACTATCATCACTCACTCTCTCTGGACTTTAATCTACATGAACATGTATTCTCTCTCTTTCTCTCTCTCTCTCTCTCTCCCTCTCTCCCTCCCCCTATAACCTTTTCCCCCTCTCTCTCTCCCTATGCTCTGTCATGCCCAAATTAGTACATGCATGTATGTACATATACATGTATCAACACAAACATTCTTGTTTTTAGTTCCATTTTAAATTGTTAGACTGTAGGTGATACATTTTTTATTGTGGCAAGTGTCTGTATCAACATTGAAAACACTTGAGTTTGTGTATTTATATTTATTCATCTATTTTTTATTGATTTTTATAGCTACATGTATCTTGATCATTATCTACATGTACACATGTATGTAGATAAATCCTGAGCCCTTTGCTACTGCTATAGAAACAATAACAGCTAGCACATCAAAAACACAATTAATTAATATTTATATTTAAGCTAAGAGTATTATGTCTTACATGTACATGTAGAATTTCATGTATTTAGACTTTCCAGTGATAAATTAGAAGTTGATCCAAGGACATTTTTATAATGTAATGGGTACACAACTAAGCCTCATACAAAAACTACCTATAGATTGTAGGGACAATTTTGTATTAAGGACAGGTAGTAGGGTGTAATGTCCCAATGAAGAAGGTTAGTAATAGTTCTGTAACACGATATATTGCTTATACGCGTATGCTTATATATAGTAAGCTAAAATTGGTATAGTTCTTAATTCACATTGTCCCTAAAGTTATAAGTATAATAACATTTTTAGTACATGTACATTGCAACCATTACTAAGTTACAATTTGTAGGGAGGGATCTCAGTTGGTTCAGTTTGGCACTGCACTCTGGACTAAGATCATTACAAACTACAATAGATCTTGTTTAGTTCTGTATTGTAATGGTGTCTATTTTTTAGTACAAACACTAAAATTGACTTTAATTTTATTCACGAGTATCTATTCCCCACTCCATGTCTATACATAATGCACCGCCCAGTTCTTTTTGCTGATGACATTGTTCCAATAGCTTCCATTTTCTCCTAGCAACAAGCCAGCAGTCATTATTTTGTAGTATATTTCATTTTACTATAATGTGAAATTATTGTAGTATCAATTACTCTTATTTAGTGTGCGTAACAAGATTCGGAAGAAGGCATTATCCGTCCTCTTGTAAGAGGATACATACATGTACATGTAATTCTACTATAGATTTGTAGACACATGTACATATAAATGATGTAATGTAATGGCCGGTACAAGCTACTTCCAGGTGTGTCTGGATGCTATTTCCCATCTTTTGCTTCCCTTATGTGTACATTTTAGGATTTCCCCCAAAGCTATAGTCTCGTTGGACGAGACTACCCCAAGGCATGTGCTTCATGAGCTGACTGCAGTACTACCATACAGTACTACATGCATGGTTTTTGGAGCAACTTTAAAAATTTGTTAAAAATCCAATTTTGATCTGAATCAGCTCAAACTTGCTACACAGTATAAGAACATATATACGTATCAGAACAAATTATAAAAATAAAAAATTCTCTCCAAGTCATTTTTGGAAAAATTACCATCTTTATAGTAAAGGTATAATTATATATTTTTAAGTTTTAGAGCAACTTTAAAATCCAGGGACCAGAACCTCCATAAGCACTATGAAACCATGGTACATGTACATGTACATGTACATGTACATGTACTTCTCCAGTTTATGTTAAATGCATTTTACTATTAATATTGTTGCTAATAGTACTGCTAGTATTGTTATGTGTACAACTGTAATTGTTACAATATTGTGGGCTTACTTTCTTATCAGATTCTTGTGTATTTGTATGTTATAGATTATAGTGATTGATAAAACACTCAATGGCTATGTTGTTTCAACTTTCTCTCTCTTCCTCCTTCTTTCTCTCTCTCTTCCTCTCTCCTTCCCTCCCTCTCTTTCTCCTTTTCTTTCTCTCGCTCTTTTCCCCTCTTTCTCTCCCTCCCCCTCTCTCTTTCCTTCACTCTCTCTCTCTCCCTCCCTCTCTTTCTCCTTTTCTTTCTCTTGTTCTTTTCCCCTCTTTCTCTCCCTCCCTCTCTCTCTCTCCTTCACTCTCTCTCTCTCTCTCTCCCTCCCTCTCTTTCTCCGTTTCTTTCTCTTGCTCTTTTCCCCTCTTTCTCTCCCTCCCTCTCTCTCTCTCTCTCCTAAAATATCAATAATTCCTTTCAATAGAAACTAATTACTATAAGAATTATTACTAACTATAGGCTACCACCATTGTTGTATATTAAACTTAATTCATTTAGTGCTAGGTGATTCTGTACTGAAATAATGTACATACAGTCAAGCATTTTCACATGCATGTAGCTCCAAGCCAAAAAAATCCATTACAATCACGATTATTAATTGCTATTATTATCATTATTATTATTATTATTATTATTATTATTGTTATTATTATTATTGTTATTATTACTATTATTATGTTAAACAAATGGTGACAGAAAGACACAAAACAGACAGAAAGGGGGCATATCATTACATATTTGTCATTCGTAATACATGTACATGTATATATACACGGATGCTCTGCAATGAATGTACATGTACGTGTGTGTGTATATGTAAACTGACATTCTGTTGTTATTCTTATTAATGATAAATAATTTAAATCCTTTTCCTGTTTGTTATGGAAGTGTGAAATCATTTTCATAGTTTTTTTTCTCACGGATAGGGACGTTAGCATGTACATGCACCTTCCTTTATGATTCATATCGAGAGGACTATTATAATTACTATTATTATTATTAATTTATTTATTATTAATTTATTTATTATTGTTCTTTTTCTTAGTTCTCCTATTAATGCTGACAAGTATTTCCTTCCTCTTGAGTTAGCTTGTCGCTGTAACGTGTCGAGAATGGTTAGCACTTCTCTGGACTGTATACAGGTAATGTGTCAT